GATTTTCTACGGAAAGTCCAAGTGACATTTAATATTTGTGATGAAACTTTTGTTTGTTTACTTGATTTTGACAATTCGCTTCACACACTTGACATTTAATTAAGCACAGACGCTTGGCGCTTCTTTGGATTTTGACAAAAAGTGAGCATTACTTGTTAAATAAATGTTAAATTTTCGTTTATTAAATGATACTTTTGTCATTTTCAGAATGATTGACGAGGAGCGGTTGATTGACTTGGTGCGGGACAATGAAGTCCTGTACAATAAAACCTACGTGGGCTACAGGTTGCCGGCAAAGAAGTTGGCGGCTTGGGCTGCAATATCGCGGGAGCTTAGCGCGACAGGTTTGTGTAAAGATCCTTAAATCCAAGTTGTATGAACAATATCCTTTTACGTTTTAAGAAGAGCAGTGTACCAAGCGCTGGATTTCACTACGTGAGCGATATACCCGCGAATTGCGGAAGCTTGACGCCCCGTCAGGAAGTGCGCCGGCTTCGCAGCCGACCTGGCACTTCTCAACCAATATGGCTTTCCTTAAGCCGTTCACAGCACCAAGACCGTAAGTAGTTTGGTCTCTTTTACTTTAGTATAGTTACTGATAGAATGCCCGATTTTCAGCACTCGATGCACTATAAATATTCTGGACAGAAGCTATGGAAGCAGCAATCTCCGCCATCGACGCTTCTGTTTCCGTTGGCAGATGAGAGCGAAGAAGGGTACCCTGAAAGGTATTCAGGCGATCCCGTGGCGTCGACGCCTAATATATCTAAAAAAAGAAAGCGGCGAGATCAGGGTGACGACGGCGAGTTTAGTGAAGTTTGCCAGCTGTTTAAAGAGGTGCAGAAGGACCGATTGGCGGAGAACAAAACTTTGCGTTCGTTTGGCGAGATGATTGTAGTATCTATTGGCGAGATGAATGAAAGGAAGCAGGCGAAGGCGATCCAAATAATCACTAATGCTGTGATGACATTAAAATAAGAGCCTGACGACTAATGTCAAATCATAATACAGTCTTTTTTGTACAATATTCTATAAAGCAAAACATAAAAAGTTCATTCTACAACAAACATTATGAATATTGTACGAAAAAATACTAATTGCTCATTTTTGCTGGCTACTTTAATTTTTTACGAAGTGCTAACAAAGTAACCAAAACGCTTATCAACACGATTTTCACAATACTTTAAAGGTTATTGAAATGTTGTTAACATAATGATTTTAAATGCTTTACACTGTTATGTATGTAAATGAATTAGTAATTTATTTTCTTAAAAAAACGGTACCTGAAGTAAAGTTAATTTGTAACGTTTATTGTTTTGTTTGTTATCCACAAAATAATAGGAGTGCGATCTTTTGACCAGTTTTGACTATTTCTTTTTTGTTTATTTAATTCTTAGTATTTGTTTATAAAATTGTAGCGTGTTATACAACAAACACCATGTAAAGTCGCATTTAAAACTTTGTATACAAATTTTAAAAATTCTGCACAGTTTAACCAAAATTTTAGATTTTTTAATCAGAATTTTAGCAATTTTGGTATGCAGTTTTATAGCCCATTTAATTCTAGTGTAACGAAGTCTCAAGTTGGTAAATAAGCCCGGTGATTTTTGAGAATTTTTTTTTGATGGCAGTGTCTTCCATATAAGAGAAATAGTCGAACATACTTTGTATGGAAAAAATGCGAAACACCTTCAACCAAAAAAATTCTCAAAAATGGTCAAAAGATCGCACTCCTATTACTATAAAGTATGGGTAACTGTATATACATACATGTACGTATTTGATTTACTTACATATATGAATTCTTGTCTTGTAATTTGTTTTGTACGTACATGTATGCATTCTTATTTTGTAATTTGTTTTGTACCTAATATAAATACATTATACGTTATTTTTATAACGTTTTAAATGTATGGTCTTTGTATTTCAGCTTTAAATTTTATGTATGTAGATACATACAGTGATGAGCAAAACTGTAACATAGTGTATCACTTTTTATTTCAGCCACCGCCATTTATTCGCATAGCGTAATTAATTTAAAATATCTATTTGTATCACTGAAATAGTATACTTAAAATTCTGAACTATGTATAAACTTCCCTAATGTTGAGAAATTTTAATAAGCGACATGGGTAGTTGGCAACACCAATGCTGATAAAGCAGTCATTCATTATTTTTGACAGCTCAGAAAATTTTCACATCTGTCTCAAAGCGGTCACATACTTTTTGTGAAATAATCTATATATACAGGGTGTCGCAGAAGTAACCTGCCAAACTTGAGGAGAAGGCAGGTGGGGTAGTTAGCTCCCTGATAGGCAAAACTTTTTCAAGTAAAAGTGTCACCGTTTTCGAAATATTTAAATTTTTTTGAATTAAAGAAAAATCGTGTCTTTTCATGTACTTTCTTTAACTGCATCTACAAAAAAGCCTATACTTAGTAACTTTTTTATGTAAAATACTTTCAGATAGTTGCTTCTCCATACTCAATTGCAATGTAGTTAAAATATATTAAGGAACCATTATAAAATTAGGACTATATTGCGATTTTTAACTTTTTGATATTTTCTTTCCCAATTTTGACTATGTCTGGTGAAAAAAAATGTACTGAGCTATAACTTTACATTACATAAAAAAATTGCACATTTAATAGATATTTCAGAGAGGTGTCATTCTTACTATTCCGAATAGAAAAAAAAGTTATAGCCGCTTTTGTGGGTAAAGGGCTGAGACACACTAGAATGTATTTAATAGATTTAAATTTAAGTTGGTCTTGTTACCGACCAATGACATGCTAAATAGTACAAAGGTACATTATTACTTGCTCCTGACATTATTTTGTGTTACTTACCGGAAATAATGAAAGTGGATTTTGTGGAATTGGACCCTTCGTCGCATGAATATGCGGATATTCACCTAATTCAAAGACTTTATGCAGAGCAATACCCCAATCGTCGGCATCCGGTCCGTGAAATATTCGCCCGGAACCATAGAGAAATATATGAAGGTAAGTGATTTTTACACCTTTCTTGTTT